ACAGCATTTCTGCTCCCTCTCTAAGGACCCTCGGGGTGATGTCCGGTCCCATTGCCTTTGAAGTATCAAGGGCACTTAGCAGCTTCTTCTCCTCCTCAGTTGTTTGTATGTCATCCAGCACTTGTTGGTGTATTCCCTGTTGGTGTCCCCCTCTATCCTGTCTTCCCAGAGTCCTTCCTGTCTACACTGTGAATACTTCCTAAATCTCTTGTTGAGCTCCTCACATACCTCTTGACCGTTTCTTGCGAGTTCCCCACCTTCTTTCTTCAGCCTGATCACCTGGTCTTGGACTGTTGTCTTTCTCCTAATGTGGCTATACAGTAGTTTTTGGTCAGGCTTGACTTTCGATGCTATGTCGTTTTCGTACTCTCGCTGGGCCTCCCTCCTTATCTTTGTATACTCGTTTCTGGCTCTTCGACTAATCTCTTTATTTTCCTGGGTCCTTTGCCTTCCGTACCTCTTCCATTCTTTAATACACTTAGTTTTTGCCTCCCTACACCTTCGGGTAAATCAAGGACTCGCTTTGAACTTCCCATTGTTTCTGTTGCCCTTGGGAACAAACCTTTCTTCTGCCTCCTTGCATTTTGTTGCTACATATTCCATCATTTCGTTTACTGACTTTCCTACCAGTTCTCTGTCCGACTGAACCTCCCGCAGGAAGTTCCTCATACTGTGTAGTCCCCCCTTTTATAGTTTGGCTTTTCCCATTCGGCTCCTGTTACCCTCTGCAATTGTAACTCTACTATGTTATCAAAACTCAGAACTACCTGATCACTAGCTCCAAGGGGCCTCTCATATGTGATGTCTTCAATGTCTGAACTGCTCAGGGTGAACACAAGATCCAGTCTTGCTGGTTCATCCTCCCCTGTCTCTCTGATAGTGTCCCCGACGTGTTGATGCATGAGGTTTTCCAGCACCACATCAATCATCTTGGCTCTCTATGTTTCGGGACCCCCATGAGGCTCCAGGTTTTCCCAATCGATCTCCCTGTGGTTGAACTCACATTTAACCATTAACTTTGTTCTGTACGACTGAGATGGCTTCCTCTCTAGGCCTCCTGCAGTTCTGTGGTGGGTTATACATTACGGCAATGACTACCTTATGTTCCCCAGACTGAATTGTACCGTCTGTGTAGCCCCTTTCTCTAATCTCGTCCATGCCTTCCATTTCCTCAAAACCCCATCGGTTTTTTATGAGTAGTGCAACCCCTCCTCCCCTCTCTGCTCCTATCTTTCCTCAGGATTTGATATCCCGTTGGGAAAACTGCATCTGTTATTGTCTCCGTGAGTTTCGTTTCTGTGACTGCTATGATGTCTGGGGACTTCTCATTGTTTCTTTCATACCACTCCTCATATATATTCGTTATTTCACCTGCGTTCGTGTACCAAGCCTTCAGCTCCTTATTTATCAGGGTGGTCCTGGGAGAATATTGGGGTTGGGAGAGCGGGATCCCTAGAGGGGGTTTACGGTGTGGGTGGGGGTTGTGATGGGGGGGCGTGAGGGTAGAGTGCCCACAGGGAGGTACTGTAGGAGTGGAGTTTGTGATGTGGGGGTGGGGGCAGAGGGAACAGTGTGTAGGTTTTGGTTTAGATTGTTCATTTGCTTTGGGGTTGTCGTGGTTGGAGTCCTTCTGCGAGTGTTTCAGTAGGGTGTATTTGCCCTTCCACCTGAGTCTGTGTGTATGTGTTTCATGCCAGTAAAAACCAATCTGAACAAATTGAAAAAAAAATAATATAATTGATTTTAATAAATATTAAATTTAAACTGATCTATGACATATTTACTTAAATTATGATAAAAATATGTTTGTTGGGTTAGTCATTCTTGCGTTGATTGCACTTTCATTTTATTATTCTTCGTTTCTAAGTTGTACAATATTGGATCTTTATATGCCAGTGCCGTGGTTCGGGTCCCTGTCCATTCCATATGTAGGATATTACATTTTGTAAAATGGAGATTTTTTTTTTTTTTTGGGGGGGGGGGAGGAAGTGCTCCATGAATGTGTGATTGATAGAACCTCTTTTGGTGCTGAAATATCATAATTATACCTGGTTCTGCAGGTAGAAACAGGTAACGTATGTGCTGGTTGCCTAATCTTAGTATTGCAATCTTCGTAGCACACTGACACAGTATTCGTCTTGCTTTTCCCAGGCAAGATTACAGGTACTGTGAATAAGTCTGTTTTGTTTTACATATCTTTGTGACTTTGAGAATATGCATGTGTAGTTTTCACATATTTAGCTGGTGCTGTGATATATTAAATTGATAAGGTGTTTTTTAATGGTAGTTTTGAAAATGCTGGTTGAGTCAATAATTCTGAAGATTTCCGGCAGTTTTTTTTCCAGATTTTTTGCCTTTTAATATACATTGAATTTTGAAGAGATTTAGCTGGACACGGGGAATGTCATAGAGATTTTTGTGCCTAGTATAGTGGAATCACGGTAGTCGATTCGACAACCAAAATTGAAGACAATTAAAGTAATTTTTCCTATAACGCGTAATGTAAATAAAATTAATCCCTTCCTGACCCCAAATGACAATATAATAATTTATTAAAAATGTACTACTACATAACACTGTAACAATGAATACTAAAAGAAACTTTAACTGAAATACTGTACACTAAATGGAAATTTAACTGCCTCTTATCTGTCAGTGGATAGCTAATGGCATACTGGAAGCAGGAGGTGGAGAAGAGGAAAGGGTGTGTTACTACTTGGAAGGAGAGTCACCTATTAATATGTCAGGGAACTGTCAGAGTTGTTTCTCTTTTTTGTCTCTTTTCACCACTAACACTTTGTTCTGGCTCACTGGTTCTTTGTCTAACTTAAATCCTATCCAGTGAGGTTTGTTTCAGGCTCCGTTTTAACACTTATCTAAACTGAAACATTACAGTGTCATTGTAAATGTCAGAGAGACGGATGGCCACTGTTATGCCTGCTCCTCCCGCCATTAACCACGCATTTCCTTGACAAGTGCAATGGACACATCATCCCTTCACCTACTCTCCCTCTGATGACAGCTCCTCTGCTGCAATCTGTTTCTGCTCCTTCTGAAGGTGGTAAGTTCAGTTGTATGCTCCACCAACTTCACATCATCTTCAGTCACCTCTAGGCCCAAGGTCTTTACCTGGGACAAAATATCCTCTACCGGCTCAGGCTCATCTTCAAAGCCTTCAGAATCCTTAGCTGCCGCCAAGTCAGGTCACAATTTCTTCCATGCTGACTGAATGGTCCTGGAAGACACATTTCCCCAGGCTTTGTCTATAAGCCTCAAGCATATGGAATATTGAAATGGTCCTTCCAGAACTCCCTTAGTGATTTCAAAGCTCTTTTCAAAAAGTGATTTGGTGTAGAGCTTCTGGAAGTTAGAAATGAAGTACTGGTCCATAGTCATAAGCTGAATGAGAAGAGAAGTGTTAGGAGGCAAGAACTTCACAATCATAAAACTGAACTCCTCCAGCAACTCGTTTTCCAAGCTTAGAGGGTGAGAAGGAGCATTATCCATAAATAAAAGGACGCCACTGATACAATCAAGCCACTCTTGTGTTGATTGAAAAAAATTCCCTTTAGTATTCTTCCTATCTCAATTGTACGTTCTTCTGTTTATTCATAGATAATTATTCAATAAGACGTATTTTGTTTATGGATTATATGGCTCTGAGATGTACAGAATAGATGTACAATGGAAGCTTCGTGGACTGTAGAAGAGAGCAGGGTCACAGATGGAACACCTGTACAACTAAGTCAAAGTTATGTTTCATTGCTCAATAGTATGGCACTGAACTTCTGTTGTAATAACAACATTTCATTCATTACTACTTATCTTGAGTTTAAAGCTTAATGAAAACATGTATCATGAACACTTCTAGTGTTGTGGAATAGGAATTTCGCTCAAAGATTCTACTACTGATTCAACGAAGTCACAGCTGTAATGGTTGCAAAAACTTTCTTTCGACAATTTTGTAGCTGAATAGTACAGCAATTGGTCTTCTGTTGCCTTGACTACAGATAGACTCTCCATCCATTCTTTGTTTTTAATTTATTAAAAATAATTCCAAACAGTTTCTCTTGACGTTTTAGACTATACAACACTGAGGTGCACGAGAATATATGAAAAATCAAAGTTACTGGAGAAATGGGAAGACAAAGTTTGTTGACAGTTGGTGCTGATGGTTCAAACAAGTCGAGTTACACAAAATGAACATTGTTCCTATTATAAGCTTAGCCGCTTAGTTGGACACCATTACTATGTTTACTATGATGAGCCTCGAATCCCGGTTCTTTCGTCTGTATATTCACTGACAATAAATTAAATTAAATTAAATTTATGGACAACATGGCTATGAGGAGTATGAGAATAGATGAACAATGAGAGTTTATGTGGCTATGTTATTAGATTATTAATAAGATTACAACTGGTGCCCGTAAGGTTTTCTCAAAAATCATTCTCTTATATGCTTCGAATCTCAGTTGTACAACACTGTCCTTTAATAGTCATGATCTCAGTTGGAATCTTAATCAGTTTATGGATTACATGGTTTTCAGAGGCACGGAAATAGATGTATCATGAAAGCTTCTGGGGTTATAGGAAGAGACAGCAGGGTCACAGTCGATGCTGCTAAAATAAACAAGTCTGAGTGTGCTAGATGGGTACAGGCATGGCGTTACTTTCACCAGAACAAATGTTCGAGTCCCTGTCCACTCTCATATTTATTCGATGAGTGTAATTCCTTTAGGCTTATCTTGGATATTTTGAAATATATGTCTTTGATTAATATAGCAACAGATGTTCCGAGCAAACTTCTGGGGCTTCAGGAAGAGATATTTGTGTTATTACCAAGTACTTAAAACACAAGGGAAGATATCACTGACTTAAATACATATCTCTTTTCAGAAACAAATTCCCTTTATCATTTCATTAGGTACTTTTTAATGTCATCAATGACTGTAATACAGATAAATGCAACGAGATAATTTCTTTTTTTCCCCTCTCCACAGACACATCGCAGCCGATTAGTGTTACCAAGAGTAAAGTCTTCGTAGCTAACAACACAGCTTCCACCAGAGACGGTAAGAGTTGGGAAAGAGAGAGAGAGAGAGAGAGAGAGAGAGAGAGAGAGAGAGAGAGAGAGAGAGAGAGAGAGAGAGAGAGAGAGAGAGAGAGAGAGAGAGAGACAAGCAGACAGACAGACAGAGGCAGGGAGACAGAAGAAATCTGATCTTTTTGCCGAGCACTCTGTTACAAAGATGCTAGTTCCTAATCCAGCAAGGGACCCTCCTTTGCTAGTTGCAAGAAGGGTATCTTCTTAAATCGCCAGACAAGAAAAGGCTGTGGGCCAGGCAAGATGGTATCAACTTTGCTGAGTACATGATCAGGCAAGCTAGCGTCACCTCTAACTTGCATCTATCAACACTGCTTAACTCATTATAAATAGCCTTCTCTGTGCAAAAAGTCAAATGTAGTCTCTGTTCACAAAAAGATGAGCAGGAGTGACCAATATCACTTCAATCATCACTGGCAAGATTCTTGAGACAATAATTTCACTACAGACGACTGTTTTTCCACTATCACTTGCTTCTTTGTGACCATCAATATGACTTCAGGAAAGGTTACTCTCTTCCTGATCAGCTGTTAAACCTTTCCACTATGTGGCACCAGTCACTGGATGAATTCAAGGTCAGCTGTGTAGTAGTACTGGTCATTGCTGGTTTTTTCGATCGAGTATGGTACCAGGGACTCTAGGCAAAACTACAAGTACAAGGAGTACTTGAAGCACAAATATGCTCACACCATGAGTATGATCTACTTTCTTGGATTGCCTGACTCCCATCTCATCTGCGACTTCTTGACAGAATAAATAACAGAGTGTGGCATATAAAGAGTATGTCACAATTAATTTGACACACGTCTCACGCCCATATAGATACGCCATCCTGACCACTGAACTAGTAATTAAGAGTGTAGGAAATGGGGCTCCACTACTATGCTAACAGCAAATTCGTCAGCCAATCATAACAAAACCCACCAATTGTATGAAGAGATGTCTTGCACTCATGGAACATAATAAACATTCTTCCTTCATTCTAATCGAAGATAGTTCTCACTGTATATTTATAAAAAGCGCAATTTAATTTACCCTAATCCAACTAATTTTTTTCCAATAAGTTTACAATAAATAGTAAAGTTGTTAGAATTACCGACAATATGTAAAGTAAAAGGACACAAGTGCAACTAATGTGACATTTTTATTGTGGCAACGTTTCGCTCTCCAGGTGCTTTGTCAGGCCGTTACAAACTGTACATGGACAGAAAGGGTATATATAGGCTCAGAATGAGGTGCGATACTAGTGGTAGTAGTAGTAGTAGTAGTATAAGTTGTAGTGGTAGTATTTGTAATACAATATGATAGAGCAATTAACTTGCACACGAGTAAAAGGATATAAAAGCTATTACTTGGGTAACATAAAAATAGGTTAGGCAAATATTTCTATTGGAAGCTGGATAAAGAAGGCCTGTTTCAATGTTCATTCTCTGTAATGTGCTTTGTGTAGTATTAACAGGAGAGACTATATGATGACAGGGGTTACTGTTTTCAGGAAGATTCTTGCTAAGACTTCAGAAATGGTGAAGCTGCCTTTGTTTTGTTTAATTGTATTAGAAGCAGCTATTAGTGAAGATTCAAGGCACTTGCGTCTGCGGAATTTTTTTTTTTTTTTTTGATCACTAATTGGGCGTCCCTGAATTTCATGAAATGTTTGGTGGAATTTCGGTGTTGTACACAGTAGTTGTTCAAGTTACCGTTCCTACATGCGTAAATGCGTTCATTGAGGCGGGTGTCGAGGTTTCTTGCTGTTTCACCTACATAAATCATGTCGCAGTCTCCACAGGGTATAGAAACATTCAGTGCAACCTGGTCGTTGAGAAGAATTATAACTTTGTTAGGAGTGGTGTTGGTACGTGGAGAATTAATGATCTGAAGAGCTCTTTTCTTGCAATCTTTGATGAAAAAGGAAGGAAAATGTAAATCAGTGAAGGTTTGGTGAATGTATGTACATTCCTCGTCAAGAAACTCATTACTACAAATTCGGTATGCTCTCAGGAAAAAATAGATGATGATGCCTCTTTTGATCCAAGTATCTAGACTGGAATAGAAGTGTGTGAGATAATTTTTATTTGTGGGTTTCCGATAAATTTGAAATCTTAGGCTGTTGTCTACTTTGTGAATGAGAAGGTCTAGGAAAAGTACCATGTCACTGGACTCTTCTTCTAGTGTAAACTTGATCGCCTGTTCAACTGCGTTGAGCCTTGCCTGTAGATTCCGTACATTAAAACGTTTGGGGGTTATTACGAGGACGTCGTCCACGTAAGGCAACCAAGTGACGCTTGAAGGGATGATGTTGGCGAAGTGTTCGGACTATAGGTGTTCCATGTACAAGTTGGCTAAGACGGCACTGATGGGGGACCCCATTCCCATGGCGTAGGTTTGTTTGTAGAGCTTGTTATTGAAAGAAAAACAGTTGAAATTAACAGAGTTCAATCAAGTGAACAAAATCTCCGGGAGGTAGAGGAAGATTAAGGTGCTGATTGACTTTACTTCGTAAAACGTCGATGGCTTTAGTGGTAAGCACTTTTGTGAAGAAGGAAGTCACGTCCAAACTGCTTAGCTTCTTGTTACTCATGGAGAGGTTTCGGATGTGGTTGAGGTCACCTGAATGCTTAAGATGAGCGGGGCTGATGGTCCCCACAAGGTAGGAAAGATGTTTTGCAAGAACTGCTAGTTTGTGTGGTGCACTGCCTATACCTGACGTGATTGGTCTGAGAGGAATATTATGTTAATGGGTCGGGGTAAACCATACATGTGTGCTGGTTTAGGGTTGCTGTGTAACCAATACAGCAGTTTCTTCCCTTTTCTAGTGCGTTTGAATATTTGACAAGATTTATGTAGGTGAAACAGCAAGAAACCTCGACACCCGCCTCAATGAACACATTTACGCATGTAGGAACGATAACTTGAGCATCGCCTGTGTACAACACCGAAATTACACCAATCATCTCATGAAATTTAGGGTCACCCAATTAGTGATCAAAGAAACCAATTTATGCAGACGCAAGTGCCTTGAATCTTCACTAATACCTCTTTCTAATACAGTTAAACAAAACAAAGACAGCTTCACCATCTCTGAAGTTTGAAGCCTGCTCTTGCGAATTCCTTGCATTGTTAAAATCTCTAGTAAGGCTGATGCATGCAGGGGATGAGATGAAAAGCTGTAAGCCTTCTCTCTGAAAGCTGGCTGCCTTGGATCAAACTCTAGCGCAAGCTGGACGTCAAGGTATTGGTCCAGTGTGGTGAGAATGGTGTAGCACTGAGTACCTTGTTCCAAGGTTCGTAGGTTCGAGCCTCCTTCAGCCAGAAATCAGTGTTTGTGTATATTTCGCCTGGTCTTGCGAATTCCTTGCACACACACACACACACATTATATATATATATATATATATATATATATATATATATATATATATATATATATATATATATATATATATATATTATTTTTATTATTATTATCACACCGGCCGATTCCCACCAAGGCAGGATGGCCCGAAAAAGAAAAACTTTCACCATCATTCACTCCATCACTGTCTTGCCAGAAGGGTGCTTTACACTACAGTTTTTAAACTGCAACATTAACACCCCTCCTTCAGAGTGCAGGCACTGTACTTCCCATCTCCAGGACTCAAGTCCGGCCTGCCGGTTTCCCTGAATCCCTTCATAAATGTTACTTTGCTCACACTCCAACAGCACGTCAAGTATTAAAAACCATTTGTCTCCATTCACTCCTATCAAACACGCTCACGCATGCCTGCTGGAAGTCCAAGCCCCTCGCACACAAAACCTCCTTTAACCCCCTCCCTCCAACCCTTCCTAGGCCGACCCCTACCCCGCCTTCCTTCCACTACAGACTGATACACTCTTGAAGTCATTCTGTTTCGCTCCATTCTCTCTACATGTCCGAACCACCTCAACAACCCTTCCTCAGCCCTCTGGACAACAGTTTTGGTAATCCCGCACCTCCTCCTAACTTCCAAACTACGAATTCTCTGCATTATATTCACACCACACATTGCCCTCAGACATGACATCTCCACTGCCTCCTGCCTTCTCCTCGCTGCAACATTCATCACCCACGCTTCACACCCATATAAGAGCGTTGGTAAAACTATACTCTCATACATTCCCCTCTTTGCCTCCAAGGACAAAGTTCTTTGTCTCCACAGACTCCTAAGTGCACCACTCACTCTTTTTCCCTCATCAATTCTATGATTCACCTCATCTTTCATAGACCCATCCGCTGACACGTCCACTCCCAAATATCTGAATACGTTCACCTCCTCCATACTCTCTCCCTCCAATCTGATATTCAATCTTTCATCACCTAATCTTTTTGTTATCCTCATAACCTTACTCTTTCCTGTATTCACCTTTAATTTTCTTCTTTTGCACACCCTACCAAATTCATCCACCAATCTCTGCAACTTCTCTTCAGAATCTCCCAAGAGCACAGTGTCATCAGCAAAGAGCAGCTGTGACAACTCCCACTTTGTGTGTGATTCTTTATCTTTTAACTCCACGCCTCTTGCCAAGACCCTCGCATTTACTTCTCTTACAACCCCATCTATATATATATATATATATATATATATATATATATATATATATATATATATATATATATATATATATGCAATAAGATCACAGTAAACAGGTGATTTTAAATTATGCAAAACAACCACTGTGAAAGAGTAGTGAAATTCCAAGCGCTTTCGTGACTACTCATATTGTCAAGGAACTATGAAAGTAATACATCAAAGGAAGGCAATTAAAGGGCTTAGAACACACCTCACAGTCAACTCCCACAACAAAGAAACACCTGACGCGAGACAATACCGGACTCATAAGAAAAGAGGAACACTGCAGTAGGTCCGCTGGTCCTACTAGACAGGTCCTCACGACAACCCACCAACAAATCATTCTACCCAAGAAATAAGGTTTATTATTTGTCCAATGTAT